CTAGACAATGATTCCACGCCTCCCCACACAGACCATAAAACACACCTGTCAATAATTGAGTTAATGGGCTCTTGTCTAATACGGGCAGTTTAAGTTAATTTAAGAGTCTTTGTTATAGTTCTCCTTGGGGCGTGCAAAATGACTTTGATGGATGCAGTTTTTTTCCCACCCACTCCTCCCTGATCTCTGACTTACAAGGTCCTGACGTGTCACTTCCATCTAAATGTTAATTTGAAGACTGCTTCTTTAAAGACTGGCTTGGACGCTGATATGCTGTGAAAGTCTATTTGCATTAGACCACACTGGCTATGTCAAGCTGTGAGCCAAGTTGTTGAACGTTGTTTTTTTTTCTAGTGTTTTCCAAAGCACTCCAAGAAGTGTTTTCCTGCTCCCTCCTTGTCAAAAGCTTTTTGTCCCCTTTAATCTTCTGTCAGAGGCAATGATCTGGCACTGAGGCCTATGGTGAAAATAAAGCACTCTGATGCTATTTAGGCAGTTTTATCTCTCTGCTTTAGATTAGAGGACTATTTCTTCTAACCGTTTTGCCTGTTATGTTCTCGCCATGCAGTGAAAATAACCTATTCTAGAAGACACATTAGCATCCTCTGACACAATCAGTGTCTCTTTCACTGTGTCCTCTTTACATTTTTTATTTGCACTGTAGTTGATGAAATAGGTGCAATCAGACACTTAAGTTGTATTTTCAACTCTAGAAATGGGTTTTCTATCCACAGGAGGGATGGTGTTATAAAGCAGACAAGCCTGGGGTATTGTTAGTTTGTCTGTGTCAGACTGAATTTTAGTTTGGTGCCAAACAGTTTTACTTTTTAATATTTAAAATTTATGATTAAATATGATTTTTTATTTTTCAGTTGGGTGCTATGACAACATGCAGTGTTTGGTTTGTGCAGGGTTTATTTCATCTTCTATTTATTCATTACTCTGTTGCCAACATTTTGGCCAGTGCTCATACAACCCACAGCCGTGGCATTTGCATTCAGTTTGAATATGGTTTGTTGCGTTCATGTAGCACCTTCATTCAAAGACCTTTACAATTTGTCTTTCATTTATCCACTCACACACACACGCTCACACACTGATGGCAGCAAGCTACAATGAAAGATGCTGGCATGACAATTGGGAACAATTTTGGGATTGGTGTGCTCTCCAAGGACACTTCAGTGTGTGGACTTGGGGAATGAAATGCCAAGCCTGCAATCGATGGAGGACCCATGCAACACCTTTTGTGTCCCCGGTGGGTAAAAGTACTGTTTTTCCTGGGTTAACTCTGTTGCATATGCAGAGCTGCTGAGCTATTAACCTTACCAGTGTTTCTGTGATTCTACTGATGACAGACTGGTTCTTATAACATCACAGTGTAAACATTAACGTAAACATTGATTTCATAATTTCCTGATTCATGTATTAAACAAAATAATCTGAATCAGCAAAGTGATTTATCATTTGAGGACCCCCCCCCTGAATGTGTCATTTCAGCAAGTGACCCAACACAACATCTGTTCATGCTGATGTAACAAAGCCCTCTATCAGTGCTGTAGTGCTGTGGCAAAAATGATCTTATTAAAGCTTGGTGAGTGTAAAATAAAGTCTTGATACCAACTCTGAAAGTTGTTGCACATTTATTCCGTGTAGGGGGGGCAGTTTTTGTACAGAGTGCTAACAGCAACAGTCTGAAGAGAGAGGCTCCTAGAACGGAGGGCTACCTCTCTTCTTATACACACACATACAAAGGCAGAAAACAGATGCTCCTGTAGATAGGAAACAGGATACAAGTTATCCAGTTCAGCATTCACACAATGGCACGTTTACCTCTACAAATGTGCTGACACAGTAAACTGTCTGGTTTCACAAGCACCAAAATACATGTAACTGAATAGAATAGCTACATAGCTACAGCCAATAAAAGGGGTGCTGATATAAATCTCCCATTGCACCAGCCATGCTAATTATATGCAAAGGAAAAAGCAAGGCAATGTTATTATAGAACCACAAAGTCTTTTTCATATAATGATAGCTCCCAAACCTTAACCAAGAGTTTGTTATTCTAACCCTGACAGCAGTCCATTCAAAACCAAACCATGATGCTTTCTCAAACCTAACCAAGTTGTTTTTGTGCCCAATCAAATGTTAACCACTGTTATCTTAAAACAAATTCATACTTCAACTGTTTTGAAAGGAACAGATAAATCATGTTCAGCTGATTA